TCGATTCGTTCGAAACTATTTCGAATAGCAGTTCTATTAGCGCCCGTAGGATAGTATAAGAAGTGCAAGACAATATCGCCTCTGTTTTGGCCTCTAAATTCGAGTATTTTAGCTAACCCTGTGATGCAGACTGATCTAAAATAATTGATAGCATTTCATTTGAAAGCAAGGGAGATCCCTCAAAGTCTCTTATTGTCTGTTTTAAAAGAGAAGCTACGACATGGGGAGACACATGGATGTGTTCCAAATCTTCATTCTCTACAGCGATTAAAGAATTCCTGTTTCTTTACGCTTTAAAACCCTTTTTTCGAGGGCATCCAATTCTTTTTTCGATACAGGTATCCTAAACAATCCCTCAACGTCAAGCCCTAAAAGTGGTCATTTAAATTGATCATGCCTTTTTCTAACAGATATTTGATATAAATTAAAATTCTGCTTTTTTTGTCAAGCAGCGGCATTTTACTGCCTTTCCTGTTTTGACAGAGCAGATTCAATTTCTTCAACATGTGATATATAATCAGTTGGAAAATTTCGATGCCCATTTTATCAAATTGCATGCTAAATAAACTCAAACCCCACCCCTAACCCCATTCTTAAATATTAAACTATAAATTGCCTCATTAAATTGCGAATTGACACACCATCTGTGCCGAGCAAATATTTGGTGCTTACTGCAGCGGAACATTCTCAAGGTTACCTTAAAAGTTTGCATATTGTTTGTACACGTGAAACGCAAAAATTTCATGGTTGCAAATTAAACCGAGATCCAGCAAGCTAGTTACTTCGTTATAACCAACAAGCCGCGATACTATATCCATGTCATTATATCGTTTTAGGGGGTTAGGGTTTCCATTTTCATTTCTTCTCTTATGAGAGGGAGATTTAGCGGAAAGCATTGCTTGGTTAAGCTTTCACACGATATGCGAAGACTCCGCACCGAATTTGATTTATTTTTGAATCTATTTTTTACAGATTGAAATTTTTACTTCGTTGAGCCTTTTCGTACATGATGCTTAATTGTGCCAATGCAGCGACAATTCTAAGAGCCGAAACCAAAGATTCTGTATTCATTGAAGATCTAAAGATCGATTTCCTTGAATTGACAGACTCGATTCTTGGTAATGAATAAAAATCATATCCATAGGTCAGCGATTCCTGATTCGATGGAAGGCTTTTATCACCGAACTTCCGTTTATCGCGTATTTTATTATTTATCGCACCATATTGAATACTCCAACGCTCGGTGAACAACGCGAAAAAGTCTTGACTATAACTGGTAAGCCCGAGCTTCGCATTCCATCCCGAAGAGTAATGGTGTTTGGTTATAACTCATAGCGCCAAACAATGTCATGGCTATTAATGTTATTTGCAGAGAAGCTTCCATTAGTGTTAAGGAAAACCTTATCTCCAAATAAAAGCCAATATCATCCTGTGGTCCAGCAAATTTCTTCGGTCATATCGCTATTGCATTTAGCTCTCTTCTACTTTGATGGAAAGTATCTCAAGCCATATCAAAGACTCTTGTCCATCACATACAAATCTGCTGTCGCTTCAGATTCCAATATAAATCCAAATGAGACGCCAAATGATCAGCCTGGAACAGGCTATGAGGTTTTGGGTTTAATTACAGCACTTCAAGCTTTGTGTAGGATATTTTTATCGGCCCCAAATTGGGCTAAAAATATTCTGGATACTACAGAGGACATTAACATGCCGATGGAAGCTTCCGCCTCCCATGATTCGCTGAAACCAGCTTCGGAACGAAAACCAAAGTGTTTGGTTTGCTTTGAGGAAGCCTACCATGGAGATCCCATTCTTGGCCCATGTGGCCATATCATATGCTGGACTTGCATGGTCAAATGCCTTTCAACGCTTGATGTTAAAGCAGACTTCCCTTGCCCCTTGTGTCGATTTTCTGGATGGAATATTTCCAATATTTTTCCTGTATACATTTAAAATGAGATAAATAAGAATTGAAACTTTAACGATGAAGCAAAGTTACATAAATTCAAATGATATAAGCCCCAGGGAACAGCATATCCCCAAATGGGGACATTTGATCAGAAAATAGAGATGGAGGCATTTGATGAGAAAATAGAGATGGAGAATTCGATCGTACTTACCTATCAAGCAATACTTCTTCGTCAAAAACTAGAAAATACACATCTAATAGACATAGCGCTTGATTTGAAACAATTGCCTACCCAAACTACGTTGCTCGAAAGCCTCAAGAAAATAAGGAGACTCAACATGTCAAGAGAAACTTTTCAGAAGGAAATTTCATCTAAAATAGCTGAAATAGAGAAGGCATACTCCTTAATAAATGAAGACCCCGTTGATCTTAGAGAAGAAGATGAGGCGCTTTTTCTGCTTGAGGAAACAATCAAAAATAGAAAAATGGAACTCGAGAAGCTAACTGAAAAGCAAAATCTTACAGACCAAAAAATACAAGGGCTTGCAGCATGTTGTGATACAGCTGCCATTAGTGAGGTTCAGAAGCTAACTATCAAAATGGAACAAGAGAGACATAAACAAGAAATTCTTTGCGAGATTGAAAAGTATGAAGAAAAATGGCTGGCAGAAAATCAAATTTTATACAAAATTATAAAGCTGCGAGAGGATCGAATAAAGACTATCATAGATAATGACTGTTCTTTCTCCACAGACCTCGAGTTATCTCAGCTAAACTATTTAAAAACTATGCTATACGAAGACATGAAAGATGACGAGCAACTGGTAAAGAAGCTATATACGGAAGTACAAGAAATTGAGGATGAATGCGAAAAGGATCTTTTGGAAAAAATCAATCTTTTCAAAATCAAAGAAAATGAAGAATTCTGCCTTCTATTAAGTCACAAAGGAAACATCCAGCGCGAATTGGAAGAATTGGAAAGTCAGCACAAAGCAACAATGCAAAAGAAGGAGGAAAAACAAGCCGAGTATCAAAGAAATCACGATGAAAAAATACTTCTGCAAAATCAGATTGAAAGTGCAAGAAATATTAAATCCTCTGTTTTGGCTTCTTATGATGCGAAAATACTCAAATGCGATAGGGAACTTAGACTCCTTGTTGCGGAGGCCAGGAAATTTCTAAATGATTTAGTAATTGAAGAGACCAAATTTCAAATAGGGTTATTGGAGTTGAAGAAGGATCGGCAAAAAGTGATGTGGGAATTAGCAGGCGCTGGCAAAAACATAAAGGCTGGATTGAAAAAAATAGCCAGCAATGCCGACTTTTTGCCTGGGCTTTTAGAATTTCGCATGAATCAAAACAGAAACCTAAAGAACGAAATCGTCTTGATAAATGACTTGAGGATCTTTTTCAAATAAAAAATTACATAAATTCTTCACAGACAGCCATTTTAACAAGCAATTGAAAAAAAGCCAATTTTTTATGGCAAACTTGCCAAAGGTGCTTAGCGATGTTGATGAATTCATCATTGCTTTAAAAGGCAAGTCCATTTCTTCTAACGAGGCCGAATTTTTAAATAAAGCATGTGTAGATGCGCCTGACTCTGCAACCCCCCCGTGTGCCCGCGCAAGGCCAAGAAACATAAAGCGGTATGTCCAAATGAAGCAGGATTTGGTGGACAACATTGAAGGCCCGTTTTTACATACCAAACATCCATGGGCCTCTATGATTAAAGCAAGTGGACCCCACGAGGAGCCCCAATATCGGGGGTATTCTCAAGTTTCGCCATTTCCGCCAATATCGTCAACTGAAACTAGAATTGAAGAAATTGAAAAGCTCTTTTTCCCCATGCAAGAGAATCAGTTATCACAATCGGTTCCTAATGCAAATCGAATATCCAACCTTGTTTTAAAATGTAAGGCGATAAAGGAAATATACTGCACACCAGATGAGTATACTGCCTCTCTTGATAACTTTTGGAAAAAGTCAAGTTCCAACTTTACGCTGCATACAAATTATGCCCAGCTCGTGATGTTGGCAAAACTGGAAAAGTTTATTCTAGACATGAAGAGAAAATTTCCCTATATATATGCAAATGAGTTCATCCCGCCTAGTGATAATGGCTGATGCGTTGCACCATGCATGTGTAGATGCGAACTGTTTTGATTGGAAACTATGTACACAAATTTTAATGAAAAAGGCAGCTCTAATCAAATAAAGTGGCCGCATAAATTAACGAGCGAAACATCTAACGACCCTTGACGCGATTTAATTATCCCGCGTATGTCGTCGATCAAAGATTCTCGTTTGCGGTGCAGAGCAATCGAGTTCATTTTATAGAATTTAGAAACAGAGTCGAAATTCTCCTCTTTAGAAAGAGAGTACTTATTAACAAGAGAAATTCTTTTCAGGTAGAACAAAAAATCTTCGGTATTTGAAATGATCGATATGGCCTTTTCAATGAAAATATGTAGTTGGAGCCTCGTTCGTTGAATTGCATCTGGCGTTGGGTTATAGGAAGGATCGGACTGTTTGAGTATTAGTGCCGAGGAGAAGATGTCCGGCAAAATCTCGCCTCGGAGCTCATCAAGTGCCTTGAGGAGCTCAACACGCCTGTCTTGTATTTCGGTCATTATTTTAAACTTTTTAAATTAAAAACGTATGGGCAAATCCGCAAAACTCCACAAAAGAGTCCCAAAGGCCAAGATATCCTCCCTGACACCGTCTAGTGCATTCAACCCTGAAAGCCAAGATGCCATCGATCCAATAATTGACTCAAAATACCTTGCCTCTAAACGGCCATCTTTATCTTCTCGAAAACGAGGCCAGAAACCAATTACTGTATTAACCAGGGCAACAACTAAAAGAAAACCTAAGAAAATTTAGTGTGAATAGAGTCATTTATTGGTATCCAATAATAAATATTTACAGCGCACAATTTTCCTTTCGAATATCGATTCATAAGCATACATGATAGCAAACGCATTGCTTTACATATCCTCAGTGGACCATTTATAGGCCTTTTCATCGAACGCAGACTTGCTGGAGATAGCCAAGAGATATTTCGTTTCAAAACCATTTGATCGGTCTAAAAGATTAAAGTTGCTTTGTCCTTACCAATTCCGTCCCAAAGTGGCCCAGGAGAAATGTTGAATCGATTTGGCGGTCCGCTATTTTTGTAAACGCTAGAGAGTCTTGCTTTGGATTTTGATGAAAGAGGTAATGAACCTTTTTGAGCTTCATTTGAGTCCGGAATATCAATATCATTTGACATTTTGTTTTGTCGTTGTCCAGCAGAAGCATCACAAAAACTCCCCAAATCCAAGCCCGAACAATCATCCGTAAAATACCTTATGGGGTCATCCCATCTTTGGATAGAAGCAAGAGCCTTATTGCGGGTATCATCCTCATGAGTAATGTAGAATGGCAAATTTTTCAATGAAGCAATATTGGCTTTTCGCTCAGCCTCATATTTTGCTTGGACAAGTCCACCTTGTTCCCCCACAGATACGATACCCATGCTTGCTCTGCGTTTTTCATCTTCCAAATTTGCGTAAATCTGGGATGTTTTAGCCTTCATCTTGTGCTCATCAACGTTGGCTATTACCCGCCCGGTAGCGGGGTCACGGTACACTGTCTCTGCCTTTGAAGATGCTACCATTTAATGTGCAACGAAATTCATTTTGAATTTAACATTTTAATGTTGATTTTAATTTGCTTGGGAAAGGACACAATATAAACATTTTATGAACAATAAATAGTTAGTCAGTAGGGGCTACGGGAGATGGTTATTTGAATGTGTTGGGATGGTTTTGGAAGAAATCTTTCCAGGGAGTTTTAGCGGTGTCTTTGACCGAATTGCGGTTCGCTTTTGGCTTTTCTCAACTAGGGACGGCTTCTCAGGTAAATCAAATGGCTTTCTAAAAAATTCTCGAAGTGAAGTCAAGCAAACGGGGCAAATTTGCATCGATTTACCTCGAATGGAAGATATGCAGCTGTAGCATACAGAATCTCCACAGGGAAGAAAACTCTCAAACGCCTTTAGTTGCAAACAAAGCAGGCAAGTCGAGGGATTTAGGGTATTCGTTGAATATTGATGTTGCGTTATGCTGTGTGGTTGAGGTGGTAGAATGCAATATTCTGCTGAGTAGTAGTCTGACCGAACGTTTTCTAAAACAACCGGAAAATCCATCTTTGAGGATGTTTGTTCCAACGTAACAAGTGATGCAACATCGCTGGTTAACTGTGGAATATTACCAGCTTCAACGGCATGATCGTCATTAGCTTCAATTTCCTCATTATTGTCTACCATAATTGGTGCTTTACTATCATAGCCTTCGGAATCACTTTTTTCTGCGTGTAGCAGGCGATACGCATTTCCAATTGTCGATTTTCTAGCATAGCTCCTAATTATTGATGGTCGATCAACTCTAATTGGAGTAGGAGCTTCCATCAAGAATTGAGGATAAATAGGATCAAAAGAATCTCCCTGAGACGTGTTGGACTCCAGGAGCTCAGGCTCTGCTAATGCCCTTTCTTGGGCAGATTTATGTCTTTCTAACACCAGTTTTCTGCCATCTTATTCTTATGCCAAATAAGACGCGAAGTAATGGATTGAATACATGATCTCAAAACATTTGGCGATTTTCTCTCAAAGAAGGAAAAATTAGCCCAACCTCCAGGGTCTTCCCCGCTCTTCAAAAATATTAATTGCTGTGGGGAGATATTTGTACCATCGGTATTTTCGTCATCAATGAAAACAATTCCTTTAGCACTTTCGACAAGAGATTCCTCACTATTTGGGTAGAATAACGCGGAAGCTTACGGAATTTGACCTAGCTCAGAGTCAGAGAGCATGTTGTCTGCCGAATACGAATGCTGATATGGAGAAACTGAATTTTAATTGCTGGATTAAAACGATTCCAAATTAATTTGTAATTTTACCGATTATTCCATTTAGTCAATTAAAAGTTTTTATAAATCGAGAGATTTTGGATGAAAAATCGGTCACCTCAATTTTGACAAAACATGGAAATGACAAATTTTCTGAAATAGTTGATGTCAGCAGCTCTTGTAAAAATTGCTCAATTTTTTTGTCTTTAGTGTATTTTTGGCGTCTTGATCGCCGAATATTGTTTCTAACTTTAGAGTTATCGGCTGCCCTTCAGCGTGCTTAAGGGTGGATACAAATAAGCTCAAATTCATGCATTCTGTGGCTTTCATGGCCTCTTCTATTCCTATTACTGCAATTCTAAGTGGAATGTCGACCAAAACCCCTGTTAATCTCTCCTCAATGGCAAGAGAAACTATAGACGGTATTCCAAACCCCGGGATATCAATAGATGGACTTCCCTTGGCGATGATTTCGCATTCGATTTCAAGCTCTATTTTGATATCAATTTGAAAATCAAGAGGTGAAGAGTATCTTGATGCGCTGGGCAAGAGTTGTGATCGCTCAAGGTCTTTCTCCAGTAAGGGTTTTGAAAATTTAGAAAGGGACCATCCCTGAATTGCTGAAGATAATTTAGATAATGAACCATTTTTCGTAGTAGACCGATGCCATTCATTTAATAGCTTGCCGTAGTATGGGGTTCTTCTTGATCCTTCCATTTTTGACTCAGATGCAGATGAAGCGTTTCTTTGTTTTATGGCTGGACTATATATATAGACCGCAGTATCTTCCATACAAAATAAAAGCTTTTTTTCGTCTTCTGGTAGTTCATTAAAAAAAATAAGATCCGGGGCCTCAATGTCTAAAATGTTTATTGCGCTACCAAAAAATTCTCGGTTTTTATCAGCGACATTTTCGTTATCTGTTAATAATAGAGATTCTGTCAAACTTTTTTTACACGAGGATCTTTTTTCTTCTCCTTTATTTGGAGGAATAAGCTTAATAGAGCGAAACGTAACATCAAAAGAGGAAAAATTTGGAACAGTCTGGAGAGACCCCTCAATGAACGAAGGAGGAGAAGATGTTAACAGTTCTATCTTTTTGGCAACTTCATTTGTCAAAAATGTACAAACAGGTGGTAAAACGAGCTCGGAAATAGCACCCCAGTTTGCAAGAATTGACATGAGTGGGTTTGAACTTAAAAAACAAATTTGCGTTTATTTATGAATGGCTTCAAATCGGCTTGATCCCACTGCAGCAAGGATAGAAAATATTAGAATTGATACAAAATATCGGCAAAAGCGATATTTGGCACATCTCCACAGCCGAGTTTCCTCTTCGAGAGATCTGGAGTCTCGATACATACTCCTAAAGTCTGGGATCTTGAGCATCAATTAAAATTTAAATTTTATTTGAGGTATTAAAGCTTATGCGCAATATGGTGATACTCATCCATGGCATATGAGCTTAAAACTTCGAACATTTGCGATGGTGGGAATCCCTCATAGGCAACCTTATAAACAAGCGTGAAAAGGGGAAATTTTGTAGTTAAATTCTTAGCATTTAAGATCTCATAAACCTCTTTGGAAGTGCTTGGCCCCTGAAGCTTCTGGCCATTTAAATGTTCTACTTCTAGTTGCTCAAAAGACTAATAATAACTTGCGAACAATCTTAAGTACCTTTCCAGAAGCGACAAAAAGCTCAGATATTCGGCGGTTTCTTCCTCCAAAGCAGGTAGTGATCAGGTCTGCAACCCCGCAGCTTTCGAAGTAAGTCTCCCAATTAGAAGGTTGATCCTCAGCAGCAGGCTCAGAAGTTGATAAAAATCTAAAGATGCTGGAAAATCTTTTCATCTCAACAAGACCAATCCTTATAATAGCAGCCTTGGTATTCTCTCCAAATCCAAGGCCGTCTACCAAACCTGCAGCAACGGCAACCACATTTTTAAGGGCCCCACACAATTCGACCCCTTCAACATCCGGGACGCAATTAATGAGAAAATAATTTGTTTCCATGACAAGCTTGAAAATGGCAGCGTTACCTGCGTCACGATAACCAATGGTAGACTCGCAAAATTGCTCTTTAGAAACCTCATTTGCAATGTTGGCACCCATCATAACACAAACATCAATTGATAGGGTAGAGGCGATAAGGTCCGAAATCAGAGAGATTCCCTTGCTCGAAGCATCAACGCCCTTGATCAATGAGATTGCACGGGCGTTTTTATGCAAGTGCCCACGAATAGTTTCACAAGACCTTTTGACAAATTGATGGGGAATAACAAAGACTAGCAAAGTCGCGTCTTTTACAGCCGAGACCAGATCCGGATCTGCACGGACATTCTCTGGAAGCTTAATTCCAGGCAAGTATCTATTAAAACGGTATCAAATTTTCATTTTACTTGACGTTTACATGCTCAGTATTGATAATTTCGGTAAGCTTTTTTCCTTCGACCATTTCTTCGAAAACCCACATCTTGATCTTCGGATCAAACTTTTCAAGGTTCTTGGAGACATTATTGCCAATGATTTTAGCAATTGTTGATCCCCTATTTTATATGCAAATATAATATACCAATTTCCTGACCCAATAATACAAATGCGTTCGAGAGCAGAGGACATTATAAAAGGTATATTATGTCTTGGATCTAATTCACATCTTGCATGGCTGATTTAATCAATTTTCAAGTTTATGTTTAACGTAAATTGTAACCCTAGTTCTAAATTTCAACTCTTCACGCTGGTATCAGTATATGCGCTTTCAATTAAGAGCGTGCATTTTGATACAAAATACTGCATGTCCCATTAAAGAATGTATTTGCGATCAAGA